AGACAGGAAACTCCTTCAGTCAGTATCTGTGCCAGTTTTGTCTTAAAATGTAGCTATACAGTCTGTGGAAACTAATTGCACTGTATTTTGTTTCTGACACTACTGAACTGCTGTCTGGATGGGGAATCTTAGCTATTCTAGTCCTGGCCTGTCCTAGCAAACAAGTGCTATAGGAATGGTGAGCTTCAGGGGCATTGGTTTACGGGTAAGTTCAGAAATGCGCGCATGTTTTGAAGGAAGACGGCAACTAACAAAAGGACGTTTTTAAGGACTCTTTTTCATGAAATGTAGCTTTGGTAAATTCTTCACATAAAACCCCCAATCCTTTTGTTTTCTTCTCCTTCATCTTCTCCTGTTCCTTCCTGAGGAAAAAAAAACCTGACCCACCTTCCAGGTTCCAGTAAATCTGTACTTGGCAGGTGGCAGTTAGTAAAGCACAGTTAGTAAAGCAAACCCACTTTTCAGTGTGCTGAGATCTCGTGCAGAGATCACAGGTGTAGTTGCTGCAGAGGAAGTGGCAGGGAGACATTCATCAGTAAACCCCGATTTTCCCCACTTCCTTAAGGCAAACTAACAATGCTTCAAGCAGAAAAGACTGTTAATGCTGCACGCTTAATTACACCAATGTAAACACAGAATAAGTTTAACTATTTTAGTGTCAAACATACTTGCTTTTGTAAGTATTTTTCAAATAAATCTATGAAAATAGTTCTATTTACCTGTCTGTGTATGAGCTTTCTTTGCTGTTTAGCTTTACTCACCAGTTGGCCTGAAACTTTTGCTTTATTTTCTTACATGTGAACAAACATGAGTCAATTGTTTATTCTAGTTCATTACCAAAATTTATGTAATACAGACTTAAATTGGAAGACATGCCTAATTTTGACTCTGGACTTGATGTTTCATTACTACTCAGCACTTAAATTTTCCCTCATAATGGACAGTAGTTAACAGTGTCCTTTGAAAAGTATTTTGAGACCTCTTGTTTGAGGGAAAACTACAGCCTCTATGCCAGATGGTAGTGTATGCAGATACACAGAAAAATCATTAGAAATTATTAGTGTAGTGAGAAGTGTCATTTTAATCACACTTGTGCCCCTGCTCCTGCAAACGCTTTCGGGTGTGTTGGTTACATTTAAAAGCGTGGAGGGTTCTGTTTCTGCTCCTCCTGGGACACGGCTCTGTCGGGAGCGGGGCCGGAGCCCGCGGAAGGGCTGCCCTGCCCTCTAGTGCTCGACGCGCCTCCTGCGCCACCTGACCTGAGGGGCTTTGTGCTTCAGGGCTTGATGGAATTTCATCGGTGTAATTTCTCAGTTTCTTGTTTCTAAAGAATTGCTGTTGTATCTGTTACTGTTGCAATCTCGTGTAACTACATCGTGTGAAATTGCGTTTTACCTTTGGGATTATCTTGCACACTTCTTTGTACTTAACTGCCCCTCTGGCAGTGGTTACCAGGACAAAGCACTCTGTTCTTTCACCCTTCCATTCCTGAAAAGCTCTCATGACTTTTGACTTTTTCACATGATGGTTTTGCCAATTTAATAATATGAAACTTTAAAATACTGATTTTTTAAAATATAAACAATTGGAGTATTATTTACATGAAACAACTATTTGATTGAGGTTTTTCAACAGATCCAGAATTGTTAGTCTCACACCATAGCCAACTGCTAAGTTTCTAGCCATAGAAATTATGGCTTTAGGAAGTGACTGGAATACAGGGTTGATATTTGGACAGAAGCATTCCTGTTGCCATTTTTTCTCTCTCTTACTGGTAAAAGGATACTATTGGAGCAAAGGAGATCTGGGCAGAAGCAGCCTCTGTTTGTTTTCAGCTTTTTGATACCTTCAGCAGTTGGTGAAAGGTACCATAGACCCAGGATGCAAATGGGAACATGGATAAGTATTTGATGCTTTGTTTGACTACAGCTCTAAAAAATTCAGGTTGCCGAGTGAGACTTAAGTAGTCTTGATTTTCTAAAAGAATAACCTGCCAAAATAAAGTAAAAAGTCACCTCTTCAAGAATCAATATAGAATATGAAACTTTTGCAAATAAAGACAATATGCATGCTTAGATTGATTTATTATATCCTAATGACCAGGAAGGAGAGGAAGTGTCCTTCCGTAAAGCTCTGCAGAATAATTCTGAATTGATACAACTCACTTAGTAGTGGCATCCAAGTTGGCTTTTTAAGGCTTTATTCCATTATTATAGTTCTAGCTACTGTGTTTCAAAACTGTTTTGTAAATGTCCTGTGTATATCAATCACTGTGATGTGAACCAGAGGCCTGAAAAGGAAAAGCGGGGTCCATACGGAGCACGTGTTAGTACATCTGAAGAGAAACAAACTGAAGTACATTCAACAATAAATTTAACAGGGGAGAAAATGTGAGACTGGAAAAATACTTCATCTTCAGTTTGTGCCTGCAAATCTTAGTGAGGTCAGTAAGTTAATATTTACTTGGTAATTCGCTTGACTAACTGCTAACTTGCAAGTCTTTTCAGTGATATTTATAGGTTATTTAAACCCTAGAAAAATCAATTATGTAGTAGTTTAATATCTCCTTAAAGTTCACTGTTTCCTATTGGAAGGGTGAGGAGGGAGTTTCCACAAGGAATTCAGCAGCTATATAGAAGTCTTAAGAGTTTGTAAGCTTTGATGCAGTATAACCTTTTCTTTGTAAAATGCCCGTCACTGGCTGCAGAGCATGTTACTAGATGGAATTAAGTGAAAAGAACACAGTACACACTGAAATTTACCTTTTGAAAATAATTTAATTTCAGTTCTCCTAAAAATAAAATTCATATTCCCTGTTTGTATGATCTCTCACTGTGTTTGTAATATGCATTTAGACCTGACTCTAGGGGGCAAAAAGGAGGAATAATAAAATGAAGAGTAACTTGGTGTCCTAGGAGTAGCAAATTCATGTAAATATGATCCTTCTGTGTATGGAAAAGGAACTACCTAGTGCAGTTCCTTCTCTTGAAGGCAACTGAGTTTGTGCATGGTGTTTGTGGAAATCAGGTTCAGACCTGCTGAGCAGCAGATGTGGTCAAATGGAGTGTGTGCTGGAGTGTGCAGCAAAATGTGCCCTGCTTTAGGGAAGTGAAGTGCAAGTGAAGTGCTTGATCCTTTCTAAACAAAGGCTGGTGCACCCATGTTAAAGTGTGGGGAATTTGGAAAGAGGGAACTGTCTTACTGATATTTTCTATGATTTTTCTGTGAAATTGGCTTACCAGTGATGGTTGGGTAGCACATAGAAAGTACAGGCAGGATTCCAGAATACTGGCAGTCATGCAGATTTTGCTTCTAATGTCATTTGTGGAGACGGACAAGGGCAGGTGTGTAGGGAGAAGAGAAGGAGGAAAGCAAAAGACAAGAGGGTGGATTGGAATAGGGAGGAACAGATGGATAGGTGAAGAAGGCAGAATGAAAGGAAATGTGTGCGTTACGTATCTCCACTCAAATGTGTCTGCCTTTCCAAGGAACACTCAGTAACTGGTCTAAATTTTCTTTCCTTTTCTCAGTGGATAAATACCTGTGCAGAGAGGGTCCTTGCAGTCTGGTGCTGAAGCTCTTAAGAAGGGAGGATTGACTGATGGAGAGAGAAGGCAATGTTCTTTATAGCAGTCTTTAGTTATGTTCATGCCATGTGAAATGCAGAAGCACTTACATACCTCTGCTATGTGTATAAATAGACATTGGACAAACAGTGTAGGTTAAGTTAGTGTTTGTGCCAGCCTGGGCAAAGAAAAACGTGCTCGGGTTTTACAAACACCTCACTGAAGTTAGATGTGTGCTGGAGTCTCGTTACCCTACTGTGTTGTCTCCTGTTTAGCACTATGGGTGGTAAAAAGCAAAAGTAGGATGTTTTTATCCATCTATGCCTGCTGCCTTTAGCATTTTATCACTGCACAGTTCAGAACCTTTTCAAGTCTAGTTAGATATCTGTAATGCTTCTTTTAAACTACTTCTTCACCATTACTATCGTTGATGGAATTACCTTTAATATTTCAGAAAACGTTTTAGAAAAAGCATGTTAGTCAATTATATTTTTAATTCTCTTGCACTACTTCTGGAATCATTTTATATCTGCATTGTTCTTCTAGTTCATAGAAGAAACTTTTTCATCCTTTAAAACCAAAACAGTATAACTTGGAAATGTTTTTAAGATTGATATTTGATTAATGGAAAAGTACCAGCTAAGCCCAGCTATACAGTCACTTCAGAACCCTGAGTATTTTTGCTGGTGTATTTGTGGAAGCAGATGCAAATGGATGAGGTCAGCTGAAGAAACATAAACTTCCTTATTGGCATCAATAGAATTGTTTTAATGTTCATTCTTGAGCGAGTAAATACTGAATATACTTGTGAATAAGAAGATCAAGTATCTGTTTGTAAACTAACTTACAGTAGGTTTGTTGAAGAAGGATTATGTTAAGTTTTGGCTGGCCCAGGCCCAGATGATTCACCAGTGAACCACAGGCTTCAGAAGCTTTGTGTGTGTATATATCACTAATCAAAATAATTTTAAATATGAATACAGGAGAAAAATGAGTACAATAAAGCTGAACTTTGATAATAAATCTAAGAATCATTTCATATTGCTAAATTTCAGCTTCTTTACTACTTGGTGGCAGTCTAGGGTTATCTGTCATTCCAGGCTTTTACTCAAAATTTATACCAGTTCATTATGTGACTGTCAATTGAGGGAGCTCCAAGCATAGAACTCTTGTTGATTACAAAAAAAAATTTAAAATCAAACTAATAAAGATTGTCTTAAGTTGCCAAAAGCACATTAAAGCATGAGCTTGTTTAACATGCACTATCTATGTGAAGAGTAAACAGTAGCTGAACAAAATTGACTTGCTTTGATTTACAAATTTTGACTTACTAATCTTGAATTACTTGGCTGGAATGCTGCACAAAAGTCTAATTTAACTAATGAATGTATATTTTTACTTCACTCATCTGATAAGATGTAGGTTGTGAGAGAGATAAATATGACTATAACCTACCATCACAGCTTCTGTACTATTTTAAAAAAATCTCTGGGTTCTGTTATGGAACTGCATGGTTTGTTACTTGAAAATCAATTGCTTTCAAACTCCTGTAGGTCCAATACAGCATACTATGGCTTTTTGTAAAGGTTCAGACTGACTTTTTTGAAGCTATAAAATATATCTATCAAATGCAAGTGAACACTATACGACAGTCAAGTCAGCTACAAGATTTTAAAGTTGGGTATTTTTAAGTACATTTAAGAAAAAACAACTAATTGTTCATGACACAATGTATTAATTGTTCCTAATAGAATTAAATAATGCATACATTTCTATTTTTTTGTAATTCAGTTAGTTTCTCCAGATGGATTAAAAAAATCTCAGTTGATATTAAACAACCATTTCAGTGCTCTAGACTGGTTTTGGAAACTGCCCTTAGAGGCTTCAAAGAAGCTATTTAATATAGCAAGTATAACAGGTATTTGACCCCTTACTCAAGAGGGAGAGGAAGGTATGGGTGTGGGAGTCTTAACTGATTTTTCACAGTAAATTACTGTATTGAACACAAGGATGTAATTCATGTGAAGAGCTACGTAGTGCAGACCAGAAAATAAAATGGTAATGTCTTCTCGTGGTGGGCAGAGGTGGGGGGGAAAGCCCGTGTCTTTCCAATGGTTTTATAATTTTCTATTTGCATATAAATATGTAGTGGAAAAGCTTTTAAATGTTTATGTGGGGTTATTTTGGGATACCCTTTTCTGCATTCCTTCTTCGTGACCTCAGGTTTGTCCAATTATGAGGGTCATTTTTTGTTCAACCCTTTTTTCAACCCTGTCCAGTCCCAATGTAACAGTTAATTCTTACTAATACTTAATGGTGTTCTGTCTCAGGAGCTTGAGAAAAGGGTGCAGAGGGGTAGGCTGAAAGCACAGTTGTGCTTTGGCCATGCAGTAACAATGGCCAGATGTGTTTGTGACAAAAGAGTGTGTATACTCTTCAGCAACTGAGTCATCATATATCTGCCTTTTGTTGGTTTATTCCACTCACACTTTCCTTTAAAATTGATTAATGGGATTTCTCCGATCTGTAGGACATCATGTTCATGGATCAACATAGAATCATCAAAGTTAATTAAAAAAAAAAAGTATCACACTGGTTTGTTTATATCATAGTTCCTATTACAGAGCATTAAGGTGGTTGGTTTTTTTATAAGGTCCTATACACAGACCTGCTTACCTTGAATACTTTGTCAGTTAAGTCTCTTGCTTGTGGAGGCACTGAGGAAATGAGAGAACACAAAGGAGGGCAGCAAAAAGCAGAGTGAACTCAATTTTTAGAGTGAGTAGAGGTGACTATTAATACTCTATTAATATCGTCAAGGTAGTAAGATAAATGAAGAGAGGGAATTGCTTGGTCTCAGATGGTAGGAGAAAGAGCAATCGCTTAAGGCTAAGGAAGGAAAAGTTTGAACTAGATAATAAGAGCGGGGGAAGGAATGCTTTAAGCAGAGAAAGTGAGTGATGTTTTGAGGAACCTAAAGAAGAGTTTGAGGTACTATCACTCCAGAGGTGTGAGTTTTAAAATAGTGTGACCACCTGATGTGGCTGATCGGGTTTGGTATTTAAAAATCACATGAAATTCTGGAGTCAGGTTGTGTTGCTTTAACCTGTTTTTCACCGTTGTGATATGATGCAAGTAATGACTGTGGCCTTGACTAGCTTTTCTAACATAGCTGTGCTTCCTCAGCCTGTTCAGAGAGTTTATTGGGGAAGGTGGGAAGTGTGTGCAGGAAGGGAGTGTGACAGGATAGACTGTAGTAGTAAAGTAGCTTGTCATTTATACCAGCAACTATCTGATAATTTGGTTTTTGTTTTTCTCTTTTTAAGTCAGTGCAGCTTCTTGGTACTGGATGACATTGGCAGTTGGAGTATTGCAGTGATAATGATTTCGTGATGCTGGAGAAAATGACTTAAGACCATGGTTTCAACCTTTTTGAAAGATGCCTTCATATAATAAGATTTGCCATAAAAAAATTACTTGGGAAGCAGGGAAGTCTTATGTCCTCTTTAAAGAAAGCTTTCAAGTATTCTTATTGAAACTCAGTACAGCAACATGTCAAAAGGTATTTAAAATAAAACGTGCCTTGTTCTGAAGCAGTCTCGCAGTTTATGCCAATCACAATACCGTTTCTGGCAATTCAGAAAGAACAGTTTCAAACAGTCACTAGTGAGAGTCAATGAAATGGAACAACTTTAAAGTTTTGTCTTCATCTTCTGCTTATAGCACGTCTTCCCCTCTCAGACCTGGTTTATCTCTGCAAGATTTGCTCTGTGCATCTTTCTCTTGGGATCTGGAATATATCTCTCTCTCCTGTGATTCAATTTCCTTCTTAGTTTTCAAAAAGTTCTTGTTGGGTAATTAGATGATTCTGGGACATTGCATTGTGCCAGTTTTTAAGGTATGTCGCTGTTAGAGTCAGAAGAGACTGTTCTGATCATCCGCCCTCCTGCAAGAGATGGTTACAGAATTTCACACATCCATTTTTATGTCTAAATTCTGCTTCAACTTCAATAAACAGCACTCGTCTGAGACAACAATTTACTAAAATATATTTGCTTCTATACCTTACAGGCCTCAGTCAGGAGAGGTGTCAGAAAAGTCTAGGTTTTCACATAGCACCTTTTCATTTAAACAGCTTTTGCATGCAGCTTCAGCGGGTACTTCTTCGAGATGGAGCAGAAGGAAGTCAAGGATCATCTGCATCCCAAATGGCTCCATTCCCTGTAGTACAGAAGAAGATGGATTGGCTTGATTATTCTGTGTGCTTCTCCTGCTAAATTGTTTCTCCATTATGAAAGCAGTTATTTGGAAAGCAGTCCAGTGCTAGGAGCTAGGTAATGGTTTGGAGTGTTCAGTCAGAACAGGAATGAATTAGCTATTTTTCTTTATCTTTCTTTTTTTTTTTAATTCAGTGTTCAAATGTGTGGAATGGAATGGCCACTTGGTGGCAAAGCTGAACAGGAAGTAAAATGTGACTCAGCTTTCCAGAATTGCTTCTATTTCTCTGGCATTTGTGGGAAACAGGATTATAAAGGCACACTGACCTCCACCTGCAAGGTCATGTTTGTTTGTAATTGTGTTCCTAATTTTCTGTAATCATGGTACTTGTGGTGCTGGTGGAAATTGTTTGATTACTTGAACACAAGATGTATCAAATCAATCATCTTTGCCTTCATCGTGAGGTAAATTGGGGTAACATCAATGCCCCTTCAGAGTTTCTAGCAGATTTAGAGACAATACTACGTGAAAAAGCTTCAAGGACAAGGTAAAGGGCTTAGGGGGAGAGGGAACTACAGATTCCTGCCTAATGAAGATTTTGATACTGTCCTAATGACAGTGGCACATGCTCTGTATTTTAATGAGGCAAGATAGAATATGTCAGAAAAATGACTATAAAACAGCAAGGTAGCTGTGCTAGCTAACTTCTCTTTCTAGCTGTTGTTACAAAAAAAAAATCAGATCATTATTTTTAATGTTTTAAAGGAGGTGTGGTTTGTAGGGAGACATAACACCATTTTTTATATCAACCTAATGTATTGGGGGGGGGGGGAATTGTGAACCCAGCAAGATCTGATCTATGTGAGTGTTTTCTTCAGGTAATGCCTGGATATAACTGGAAGTGTTTCAGCATGCAGGGCACTGGGTATGCTGCCTAGAGGCTGATAATGTCTCCTTCTGGCGCTGCATCATAAGAAAATAATATTGTGCTATGGTTTTTCCTCAACTAGAATTCTGACTGCATCAGCCCCTTTTACTTCACACCTCAGGGGACATGGCTACAGGCTCCTGAGGGAAGTGAGCAGCTGAAATAAGTAAGGCATTTCTCTTGCAACTGCACTTCAGGTGAGGTGAAGAGGAGATTCCTGACAACACTCAGCAAGGTCTCAGGCTCCCTGTGTGTTTGGAACTGTATGGATAAATGAATTTCTTTATAATATGAGAATCTCTTTGCTGTTTCATGCTGTCAGACATTCAAACTGCATTTATTACTGAGCTTCTCTTGATTTTAAATAAGAGACTGAATTTATTACCCGTGCCTCTTGTTCCAGCAGATCTACTTTAATCTAATGCTAAAGTCAATAGGAGGAACATTTACTTCCCTTCCTGTCGTACTCTCATTCCATACTCTGAGTGGATACGTGTCCATGATATTGAAGCAAACGAGATTTTGTTCTATTTAAAAAACAGACCCTTCGAATTGGTTGTACAATGACAGACATTTGCAGAATATGTGGTATAAAGTAGTATTTCCTGCTGCTGGATGGCTTAGTGATTAAATCCAAAATAGCCATCCAGGATTTCTTCCATGATGCTCTAATGTATCCCAGCTCTCTTTCTATGTGCATGCATGTATTTTATTTGTGGATGTAGAATTAGTAGAATTTTGTTTTTTCAAAACTTTGGAGTCTCACGAGTGTCATTAATAAATACCCCAAGGGTTTGTAATTCTTATTCCCTTAAAATTTCCAGTTGCATCTTTGAATGTCTTTACAGTGATGTTTCATTCAACGTTTCTTGTTGGACTGTCTTGGCTATCGAATAAAAAAAGCAAGGTCAACCCAAGCTCTTGTGTAACACATCAATTTCAGTCTCTTTTTGCTTGAGCCAAAGAGCTTTTCATACTTAACGTGGCAGGTCCTCACCTCAGGTGTCATCCTTTTTCCTTGGACCTAAATGGGGCAAGAACCAAGACCTTGCTGGAAACTGTTACCTCTGAGTGGCTTTTCTTTCTTAAATTCCTGGTTTATTGTATAGGATAGATTGCACAGGTCAGTACAAATAATGCATAAGAGCTGTAGGGATAGCTGAAATGCAAACCAGCAACTCTTCAGATATAGTGCATTTGATTAAATATGGTTATATGTACATGTTTAGATGTTTGCTAGATCTGGCTGGATGTGTTGGAAGATATTTAAGTGATGCACACTTTGAACATTTTTGGTGTGGGTTTTTTTGTTTGTTTGTTTGTTGGGGCTTTTTGGCTGATTATTGTTTTGTTTATTTGCTTTGGGACTTTTTTTTGTTTGTTGGTGATTTTTTTTTTTTTTTTTTTGGTTGGTTGGTTTCTTAACCTAGCCAATTTCTGGGATCTCAACTACACTGCCAGTCCTACAACCTGCACTGGTACAACTGGGGATAGACTAAATCAGAGGAGACAGGGTGAGGTTAACTGCTGCTACAAAGGAGAGCAGGAACGAGTTACCTTTTTTTTCATCAGCAAAGTTAAGTTAAGACAGAGTAGTCATCATAACCAGATTTGCTTAGGTCTAGTACAGTTGTACCAACCTTTCTGCCAAGGCAAAGTCCTGCCTTATACACTGTATGTGGCTGGACCTGTTGCACCAACTTTGCAGGGTTTGTGTGTGACATAAGGCCTGTGATCTGCACTTGCCAGGACCAGGCCGTGGTGCTGAGCCTCTGCCCCGCTCTCTGCCCGGGCGGCTCTGAGGGGGATCGGGGACGAGGAGGGGGCAGCTCCTGCTCTCAATGCTTGTTCAGCTTCAAGCGTGGAGCTGAGTTTGGCTGAACTATCTGGTGCTGGGAGCTTGCTGCAAGCCATGCCCAGGTTCTTCCTTGGGGGGAGGGGGGGAATTTTCTATTTTCTCCTCCCTGTCCTGCCCTCGGCCCGCCCTGCACCGACAGGTGAGGCCGTGGGGTCCCTTCCAGCCGCGCTGTGGGCGAGAGGCGCCCACTGAGGACAGGGGGACTCCTCGCTCTGCGGTCGTGCCCGGGGGGCACCGAGGACTTCGCCCCCTCACAAAATGGCTCCCCCGGCCCCCGGGGCGGCCCCGCGGAGCTCTCCATGGTGGCCGCCGGCCCTCTCCCGGCGGTGCGGGGTCGCTGGGGGCCGGGCCGCCCGCCGCACCGCCCCCTCAGTCCCGGCCCGCCGCCCGCCCGTGCCGGGGCGGGGGCGCTCCGGACGCCTCACTCGCCTCCCCGGGCCGTGCCGGGAGGCGCCGGGCCGCGTTCCCCGCCCCGCCCCGCGCCGCCGCCCCGGCACGGGCGGGAGAGTCGGCGCGGTCCGGGTCGGGGCCGGGAGTCCCGCGCGCTCCCGCGGTGCCCGGCGGGCGGCGGCGCGGTGCATGCCGGGCCCGGGGCGGACCGTCCCCGCGCTGCGCCAGGAGCCGCGAGCCGCGCCCGCCGCCATGTTCCGCCGGGCCGCCGCCGCCCGGCGCCTGTAGCCGCCCCCGCCCGCCCCGCCGCGCCCCGCCAGCCGCCGGCGGACGGGCGGACGAAGGCGCTGCCGCGCCCAGCACCGCCGCCGGAGCCCGGCAGCGCCCAGCGATGTCCGCCAAGGAGGGGAGCAAGGTGCTGCTGCTGACGCCCCACGCCACCAGCGAGCGCGCCGTCAAGGGTGAGCGTCCCCCTGCCCCGCGGGGACGGGCCGCGACCCCCTCACGAGTGCCCGGAGAGGGAGAGGCGGCTCCGCCGCGGGGAGCGTTGCCCTCCGTGTGCGGGCCGGGCTGCCCTGCCCGCGGGTGGGGACGGGAGCGCTGCCCGGCGCCGTGCGGGGGCGTGGGATGCCCGCTCGGGCGGGGGAGCACCGGGGTGGGCTCTGCTGCAGGCGGGGGACGAGCGGGGCGCGGGCGGGCCCGGCGGGGCCGCGGCGGGAGCGGTGCCCGAGGCCTGCGGGCCTGGCGCGTCCCGCCCGGATGCGCTGCCCGGAGCGAGTGCGGGGCCGGCCGGGGGCACCGCCGGGCTCCGGCTCCGCGGGGCTTTTCCGCCGCCCGCGCGGGGCAGAGCCCGGTGATTGCAGGAGCTGACAGCGCCGGGAAAGAGCGAGTGGGAAGGTGCTGCCGCCCTTTCTATTGGCTGCTGTTCTCAGGTTCTAGTTCTGATGGAGAAAATTCACCTTGATCTATTTCTTTGTGGCCTTCCTTGGTAATCTCGCGGGGGGCCTTTAAAAGTCAAACGTTATACTTGTCAGAAGAAAAAGTAAAACGTTTTAAATTAGCCACAAAAATGCTGTAAAATATTGAGTTATTTCCTCTGAATCCCATCAAATGTGTCATATTAGTAATGTGGGGAGAATAATCCTTTGCAACCAAAGCATCCTAAAATATATTTGTTAAACCTAAATTGTCAGCTAAGAGCGTAGCGTAGGTAGAGCTTCAAAGAATTCCTAGGTTGTGTTTGCTCAAATTACAGATCATTTTATTTTGATCTCAGCAGTTTTCATGTTGAACTGTGTTTGATGGTGGCAGTGTGGACGGTTGTGATGGCAGGCCTGGTCTGCTGGAATTCACGACTGTATGCAAGCACTCTGCTTTTAGGATTGACGTTCCTAGTAATACAGGGTCTCGCTGAATTTGAAGGGGTGAATCTGGTCATTTAACTTTTTATATAACAGGGGGCCTTGAGAAACGACAAGGATGTATTTTTCTTCAGCAGGTCTTAATTAAAGCCTTGGAATCCCATAGTATGTTTTGGAAATCGGCATGTTTTCCAGTAAGTTGGAAAGCTTTGCTCGCAGTAAGTTGTAACTCATTTTGGATTGCTTAACCTGTTGATTTTTTTTGAATAAATTGCAAGAGTAAAAGTAGAAAATATTAAAACCAGTCTATTGGAAACTTGTACTCGTTAGTGCTGCTTTAACATGTGGTGTTTAGAATCGCTGAATTTTTGTACCTTTAGTGCAATTCGTGTTAAGAAATTAAGTTCTTCAAGCAATGGAAAAGAATTAATAATAAATGATCAGATACTTTATAATGCAGTGGAAAGCCTGCTGATTTCTAATCACTTAATAATTCAGCTTGTTAAACGTGACCTATGCATCTGGTTGTTTAAAATTGCAGTTAGGACTTGCTTCATTCTAACACAATTACTGCCTGAGGTTGCAGTATTTCTTTGAACCTGGGTGTTCAGGACGCAGAACTATTGTAAAGGTAATCAGGCTTTGATGGCTTCATCTGACATAATTACAACCAGTTAATACAGCATTTTCCTATACCTTCTGTTGACCTGTCCTATCCATACCTATCCTGCTGAATCACTGGCTTCTGGAGAAAGCCTGGCCAGTTGTGCCAAGCCATCTGTGTAATTGATACGAAGGACAGGGTGGTTTGGTTCTCCCCTCCTCCGTTAGGTGCAGTGCAGTTGAAAATATTTATTTTAGACAGTGACCCCAGAGGTGCAAGATTGCAGGTTATGTCAGTCCTGAGTGGGAGCATCTGTGCAACATAAGTACATTTGTTGAAACCACCTTAAAATGTGACAACTGCGTCACGTCCCTGTTCACAAACAGATGCATCGCCTCTCACGTACCAAGAAACGTTCCCCATACTCTTGCTTATTGTACAATAAATATGTCACTTATAATGTCTCAGGTTCTTGAGAAAAGCCATGGAGAAAAATGTAGTAATATTATCTGGTGTATCTGTCTATTGGTCCATATTTCAGCTTTCATGCTTTCCATGTACTGAGTCTTTTGGGGAGGAAGTGTGAATTCAAGACTTAAAGCTTGCTGTTACTTGTATTGTTCCTCTTGCTTTTATTTAAGCTTTATTTTCTTCCTCTGTATTACTGAAGAGCGAAGAAAGAACAGAATCAATTAAATTTCAGCTGCTGTGAGAAATTAAATTCTTTATCACTGATAATATATGTTAGCAGAAATGGGCAAGAGATGCTCACCCAGGAAGAAATGGTTAAATTATTGCATCATCAGTAACTAATATTTTTTAATAAGTAGGATAACGATTAGGATGTGTCCCCCTTCATATTTTGACCTATATATTTAGCAATTGGTGGGGAGTATGTATATCTAGAGAAATATATGAAAGGTTATCAGGTGTAATATGCTCATATTAGACGTATACATAATACACATAATAATGGGTTTAGATATGCAGTCTATACAATCTAGTTGTGTTGGTCTGACATACCTTTCCCAAGTGTGAATTATATCATCAAAGATCACTGGTTGCTTTTAAAGCAGATAAAAAGCTCAAGTTTTCTTTTTTCATGGCTTAGTTAAATTGCCTAAGTAATTTGTACTTGTAGAGTTTCCTATAAATTAATGGTTAGCTATGGAATTGAAGTGTCTAAGTCAGCTTTTGGCATTTGGTTCCCAAAAGATATCTTGTGATGAGGCTGTTGTTACTGCTTTTTTCTTTTTTTTTTCTTAATAAAGAAGAGAAAATGTACCTGTCTTCCTGATTCACTGTTTTCTAAGGCACCCTCTTCATCTTTGAAGGATACTTAGTGTTTTACTGCCTTGTAGAAGATAGCAGGTTCCTCTATTATGTTCTGTCAAAACCTTTTTTCTTTAAACTGCCATTGATATCTAAGTGCTGTATCTGGTTCTTTTGGATTTGGGTTTGCCTTTCTTGTTGGATGACAATTGACTGACTTCAGTCATTGCGCTTGACCTTTCAGTGCACGTGGCTTTCAAACTTTAAATTTGTGGATGTATCTTTTCTGCTTAAACAACTGTTTCAGTACCTCCTACTAAAGTGCTTTTCACTTGTAGGGAGGAAGAAGTGCTTGTAAACTCAGACAGATTGATAGAGTGGTCCTGGGCATGGCAGGGATGAGCCTTCATTGGCTTTTCTTTGAGGGCAAAGCACTAGGGCTTCTCCAACCCACCTGTGGGTAACTACACCCCAAAGTTGTACTTGGATGTGCTCTATCCTCCCCAGCATTGTGCTTTGTCCGCTGTGTGGGTGTTGGTAGACTTTGGGAAGCAATCCACAGGACCTTGTCATGCTGACCTAATGCTAAATTTGGAGATTATATCTTTTCTTCTGGAAATGGAAGGCTTCAGTATTCCTTTGTTTTGGATAAAAGTCATGGTACAGTCTGATTGGCAAACTGTCATTTTGGATATTAAATGGAAGCTTATTGAAACAACTCTTCAGAGAAACCCATAGAGATGTAACCCTTGAGCAGGATCCTAAATTAAGGCACTAATAGCTACTCTTGGGCAATTATGTCCATGTAAGGAGAAAAACAAATCATTGCAGTATTTAACTTTATAATTCAGAGTCTGGTAAAAAAAAGGTAAAAGGTTAAAAGTTGACATGCAGCATGAAGCCTGTTTTAAAAATATTATAAGGCACTTACCCTGCTGGCTAGAAATTATTCTAAGATGATCCAGAAAAGCAGCAGTGTAAAGAGAGTATTGAAAGGTCATATTTTAAAAAATCACAGTTTTGTTTTGGGAGAGAGGCAGTGGCATGGAACTGAATTCTGACAAGTAAGCGCTCAACTGATCTTTTTTTGTTTTAGGGGATAGAGTGGATAAAACTTGAAGTAACAGCAACTAAACCCAAAAAACCCCACCCAGAAATGGAAGCCTGCCTCAATTTCAGTAGGGCAAATTGGCAGTTGAGGGTTGGAAGGTAAGGCCAGAGCACAAAAATCAGGCAGCTACTTACATGTGCGTTTATTGTGTAAGGAATTAAGGGCTCTTTCGCACATGAGTCAGTTCTTACTGCTGAATGGGACCAAAGAATTCTCTAGTTGAAATGGAATTGATTTCAAAACATATCAACAAAAGAAATGTTCCAAAAAAAAATATCCCAGAATCAGAAGATATTTCTCTGGTGCTTTTAAAATAATTCTTTGGGGGTTTGGGTGCAAAATTGTGGATTTATTTTTCATAGCCAGTGGCGTAACTTGTCTTCTGAGTCAGAGAGGTGGAGCAGAGCAGCATTTTTTTTAAATTCTAGATTGAACTGGAGAGCGTAGATCAATAAGTTTAATTTAAACAGAATCATGGCACTTGTAAGAAAGAGTAGACTAACTATATCCCTGGGGAAATATAGTATTAAAGAGGAGTTGGTACAGTTCTCAGAGATGAAAATTAAGAGAAATTGTTAGAATATTTTGAAGGAGCCAGTAAGCTTGCTGATCCAGGCAAAACTATTCATCAGGTTCCTTCATTGAAGCCTTTAAAGTAAACAAAAGAGGAAATATACTCTTTTGGATCAAAATTAGTTAGCAAAGAAAGGATGTTAATAGGTAATAAACTCCCATGGTAGAGGAAGGTTAACATCTGTCATCTGTGCTCTTTAAATGTGTTGACAAGTTCTTTAGAAAACAGAGTGAATGGCATATAGTGACACTTATTCAGGATAGCAAACTTCCAGAGATGTTTCAGGAACCTCTTGTTAGACTGAGAGGCTGGGTAAAGAAGATGCTGTTCAGATAGAGCAGACTCTACAAAGAACAGAACAATTCTTGCTTAAATGTAGAAGGTGGTGAACTTGAGAAAGAAATATTAGGATCTGTATGGATAATGTTCTGAAAATATTAGTGCAGTGGCAGTCAAACAGTCTGATAGGAATTCAGGGATTACTAGATGATTGGTTTAGAAAAAAGAGATTGCACCAACATGCCATTTA